TTTTTTGCTCAAATGAATATGTTTTTTCAACCAAGGCTTCAAATTAATGTTGAATAAATGGGGTCATCCCTATGTTCCCCGGGTTCTATGTTCCCCATTTAACTCTGCAAAAAAAGGTTCTATGTTCCCCGCTTACACAAAAAAGGTTCTATGTTTCCCTCTTACTAAAAAAAGGTTCTATGTTCCCCGCTTATCCAGAAAAGGCAGGAAACATAGCAGTTGCATTAATATGTTGTTTTAACATCTCTAAACACACACAATGGAACATAATGGGGAGAAATTACAATCAGAAAGTTAACGTTACCCTTTGGGCGATCTATGGTGGGCAATCTGGGCAATTATGTCCTTTACAGAAGGTTTTTTTAATCCAGCTGTTAAATGCAGTGTTTCAGTCAGTGCAGATTTCTTCAAGCAGCCAAAGACCAACTGGTAAGGAAAGAATAATTATCACGGGCGAAATAAAGATAAATAAGCTGTTAAGTGCAGCGTTTTTTCAGGAACTCTGTTCAGTAAATCCACCATGATTATTTATTAGTTTTGTGATAAAAATAAATGCGTCTATGTTGTTGATCATGGATGTTGATATCAACTGTTCAGTTCGGTCCTTAGACCAATCAGATACTCAGATTTCTTCCTCTCTTGTTTTTATGACAGTAGTTTCAGGAGCAGCCAAAGACCACCTGTGGCAAGATAGTTATCTACCAGTGTTCATAAACAAAAGAATATTGATCATGGCCAAAATAAAGATAAATAATTATGTACAGTTAATGCGTTTCCCCGTTTGCTTATGGGTACAGGGAAACATGTATGAAACATGAAACTGAACAGTTGATATCAACATCCGTGATCAACAACATGGACGCATTTAGTTTTATCACAAAACGAATAAATGGCCTCATCATGGTGGATTTACTGAACAGAGTTCCCGAAAAAACGCTGCACTTAACAGCTTATTTATCTTTATTTCGCCCGTGATAATTATTCTTTTCTTACCAGATGGTCTTTGGCTGCTCGAAGAAATCTGCACTGACTGAAACACTGCATTTAACGGCTGGATTAAAAAACCTTCTGTAAAGGATATAATTGCCCAGATTGCCCACCATAGATCGCCCACAGGGTAAGTTCCTGATTGTAATTTCTCTCCATTATGTTCCGTTGTGTGTGTTTAGAGATGTTAAAACAACATATTAATGCAACTTGAACTAGAACCCGGGGAACATAGAACCCAGGGAACATAGATGGGTCCATGTCATTGGTTCGACATCCCATTAATCCGACTGTCCGCGGTGCTGAAGGGCTCGCGGCGGGCGTATGGTGCGCCGCGACCGGCTTGAGGCGGAGCAGGCTCACGGCTTATGAGTTTGTCACTTTCTTTTTCATATTAACCCACACCATGATCTTTTCCTAACCCTAACCAAGTGGTTTTTGTGCCTAAACCTAACCAGACCTTAACCACAGGGCATCATGATGATTTCGGAACGGACTTCAGAACAATGAGTTTAATATGGTCGGAACAATGGGATGTCGAACCAATGGGCAGTTCCCACATAGATACGCTCCCGAATAAACAATGAGTAAAATTAAACCAAGAATAATGAAAAAATATGGGCTATATCTGGTTAAATATGTATCATAATGCTTTCTCTTAACCCACCATATTTAATTGGGCAGCTGAGGTTGTTTTTAACAGTATAAGATGAATTTAATTTTAATTGACCAATTATTTAAAGGCGCTGTATGTAAGAATGTGGCCAAAACGGTTACTGCACTCAAATTCAAAATACTGCCACCAGTCGTGTCCGCCCCCCCTCCCCTACAGATTCGAGGTTGCTGGACAGCGGCACGCTGGAGACTGATTTGTTTGCCCACAGGCGGCTGCCATGGCAGGGCCGCGTCGCTGCGTCCTTGATCTGCGGCTTTCCAGCAGACCGTTTGAGGAAGTTAGACACTGCTAACGCTGCTGCCGGGATACAGCTGAGGAGAAGCCGGCTGCTAATGCTATGTACCGGGACACTGCTAATGCTGCTTTCCGTGCTGCTGTAGCTCAGTCGTAACTGTAACTGATGCTGAGAGTCTACTGACTGTGTGACTGATAGACGGCGGTGGGTGGCGCAACAGGCCAAAACACAAGTTCAAAACATAAACATGATTTGCAGACTGTAAAAATGTTTTTTAGATGCAAATATTCTGGCTGTACTATTGTTGTCGGTGAGATCAGTATGTTATATGAACATTATTCCTTAGTCTCTGTGACATAATTTTACGACTATTTGCTTTAGATTTCTTACATATAGCTCCTTTAAGTATCTGGCAACCCCATTTGAGGTCCTGACCCAAGGTTGGGGACCACTGCTGAAAGAAGTACAGTTCACAAACACTAGCTGAGCATCAGGCCACATTCATACTGTAGCATGGATCAACCTTTTCCATGCAGGCTGCTGCAGTTTTTTTCTGAACCCCATGCATTCCTGCAACCAAAACAGCACTACCTTTATTCATTTTATTTATTACCTGTGTTTTTCACGCAGTAGGCTACCTACTACTGTCTGCTAAATATTGTTAAGCTACTACATGCTAACATTAGCCCTATGCTTAACTTCCAGCTTTGCCAATTCACCACTTAAAGACGTCAGAAACATTGTATGTTGTCACAAAACGACCTCTCATTTTGAACATTTCTCACCTGTGTGCTGGCTCCAGCAGGTGGGCCTGCTGAACCGGACGCCATCATTGCGAGTGGACACTGCGTTGCGTTCATAGTGCTAAGTAGACATCGGAAATTTCAGAACTTAACCCTATGGGCCCGAACGACGCATAGTGCGTCCAAATTCACACCCGTTCTTCTCTGTGGATTTTCTCCGCGACCGTGCGTCCTAGCAAGAAGCCATGCATATCACATGAAAGCGCAGAGCGAAAGAGCAGAGCTTTCCAGTGATACCACACACATCATTGTACTGTCATCCCATCACGTTATAAATACAGATTAATTGTCTACAAAATAAAAACCTGACGAATTTCTTTACAATCCATTATACAGATCTTGTTATCAGTCACTTCATATAGTGAGGAATATTGTATCTTACCACGTCTTAGGCTTGTGTGTGTTTGTCCCTGTCTATCCACATTTGTAGTCCTGCTTTCAAGATGCAAATATCTCCATATTGTCCAGTTGACACTCCCGCACCCAGACAACTGCAGCCTAATGCATGCTGACAGGGCCGTAGTCACCATACACATTGAGGGGGACACCATACACAATGCCCAAAATGTTCCCCCAGTATATAACTGAAACTGAAAAACAAATATCATCTTTTAGGACATCATTGCACTTGGTTGACTATTTTTCTATGATCTTAGATGTAAATATTGCATGTTTCTTTCAGATAAAACACATTTTTGACTTGTGAATGAGTCAAGGGAATTTCTTGCAATAATGAAAAAATACTGGCAATCATGTCAGCCTGGCACAAACCACATGTTTTGGACAGCTGTGAAGTGACAGAATGTCCCAGCATCATGGTTCTTATATTGCCAGATTCCAGAGAGTCTTCCCTCTTCATATATGGCAGAATATGTCTTTTTCCAACTTGCTATGGTGAGATACATGTAAAAATGTAAGAATTTAGTCACACGGATTTGTTTTTTTCATTGATATAAAAATTAATATAAAATACAGGCACATAGAAGGACATGGAATGATGGCAAATCTGGTTAGCCCAGATTGTCCTGAAAAAAAACCCCAAGATATAGCATGTGTATGTAGCCTTTATAATGACTGTGATATGAGCTTAAAACTAAAGGCAGTAAAAATACCCCAAAAACGCCTAGGGCCCAAAGGGTTAAAGTGTGGCTGTTGAAGTGCACAATCTGGCATAATTTATCACTCCGCTTCTGCAATTGGTCCTCAGTACTGTCTTAAACAGCACATATCACCGAAAACATCGGATAAACGTACCACGAAGAATATTAGAACTTAATCAAGTGACATATTAACAGCCTTAGCCTTACAATAGAAATTAAAACAGACTGAGCCATGCAGGAAATTCGTGCATGCCGTGCAAATGGAAGTTTGTCACTGACATCAGTTTTTTCACTGCCAATCATAGTGTAGCCTACATAAAGTGTTGAGTTGAATTATTTTAGTTCCTACGTTCCCTGAAGGCAACGTGATAGGGGACGGTCCCTAGCCTTGTTGTTAAGCTGTCTGTCATGATTCCACACCCCTCTCAGTTGATGCCATGCCCCCACGCTAGATCAGGGCCAAAAGTCTGAAACTGAAAAGAAAAGTTCTGAAAGTGAAAAAAAAGATTTAAAAAGGTAAAACATAAGATCTGAATCTGAAAATATAAAACTGAAAGTAATTTAGTAATTTAATTTATTCAAAGAAATTACCAGAGTGAATCATAATTATATTTAACCTGAAAAAACTTTTTCTACACTTATTTTTATTTTGAATTCATTGATGTATTTTTCAAAATTCACCAAGACCATGGTTTAAGTCAAAATGTCCTCCATGAAAACAGCCTATTGAGTGGCATTTGACTCAGTTTAAATTGCCTGTACTGGAGAGAAATAAATTAAAATTTCAAAATAAACTTTGTTTTGTTAATGGCTTGTTGCAGTGCTTGATCACTGGGCAGTTAAAAGTGGGAGATGGTGTGTTTGGAGTGATTTCTCAAAGCCTCAAGTAAGCCTCTAGTAAACTTGTTGAGGAATTATTATTGATTTACAACCCTATCTATCTCCCACATGTATATTCTGATCATCTAGCACTATTGAATACTTAATCTGAGTAAATGAACCTTTAAGTACTAATCAAGCCTCATCTGAACATATTAACTGATGGGGATTAGGAGCTTGCATAATCAATACCTACTAGGTCCACAAGACACTGATAGAAAGAGAGAGCTAATCTCATTGAAGATGTTTTACCTTCCAACAGTTTCATTACAAACACCAACACAATGTGTGTTTCTTATACAAATGTGCATACATATCTCTTTAACAGGTACAACTTTATTCCAAGGATCCAGAGGGTTCTGGGCAGAACATGGAAAACATCCAGTATCAAGCCAATCACAATGAAGGGGGGGAGCATTCCATTCTTATAAAATATAGAGCTTTAATTTATTAGTCAGCAACAACAATGGAAAGGGAAGATAGAGTAATTTACACAAGTCATTACAATAACATCACCTTTGTGCATTTAGTTTTTTTTTCTTTTTTTCCATAAAGTCTGATGATGCAAAAATAAAAAACAAACAAAAAAACACTCAAAAACTACAGACACATTTTTAAAAATACCAACAAATTGTACAACCTTTCTTTGCATTTTTTAATTTTTTTTAATTTTTTGCTATATAACCCCTGGCCTCGTTTGGAAGAGACAATCAGAGGCTGTGATTGATTCTGGGAATGCAGACAGACATCCCAAATTGAGGAGCGGATACAGATACCTCTGTATGAATTATAGATGCATCTTCCCAGAGGCATTCAAGACAGCCTGAATACAAGCTAGACAATGTGTTTTAAAAGCCTTGAAATGTCAACGTGAGGGGAAAATGAATTGTTCCGGATGTTTAAGATCATATATTCTTATTCATGAAAATTACTTTCACTGATGTACTTGTGTTTTTAATAGAGTGTAAACATTCTAATCAATAGAACTATTACTCATGTTTTCTGACTCAAACTGCCTTTGTTTACATCATTAATATGCCATTGTATGATATTTCTCCTAATTCTGTGCTATCCAAACGCATATGTGAGATTGTTTCACTTGATGCTCTGACACAATCTATATTAATGTCAATGAAAAGATGCATCATGCTTTATACAGGGTGTAATTGAAATCTTTAAAGCATTTGTTTTCCCCATTTTCCTGTTACTGAGAATGTCCCTCAGAGACCATACTGTACACCCCTAGAGATGAAAAACAGAAAAGAAATGACCACACAGTATCTTATCAGAATTACAGTACAAATACAGGTTCATGCACACAATGAAAGCCAGCTTCCCAATATTTTGGTTAGTGTCACAACATTGTTACAATGCTCTGTTGTGTATATGGGCAATTTTTTTTTACCACATATGAATGTCAAAAGAAGAAAGAAGAAATTATGTCTCGAGTGCTGCCTGATCTGGACACCTTTTTCAGCTCGAGATGGATTTGTTTTGTTGTTTTGTTTTGTTTTTTTGGTGTTTTTTTTTCTCTTTTTTTTTAAACAGAAGTCAACTATAACTTGCCCGAGTGTGCTTGTTGCATTTGGCCCCAGCCAATGTCCCCTGAAAGTAAAAGAATAATGCCCTTTGTGCAAACTTTGACCCTTTATTGCACCTCAGTCTCATTTCAAAAGATGAACCATTAATAGATTTATAGGTTCAGTGTGTAGGATTTAGGGGCACATGTTGGCAGAAATAGAATATTATATTCGTAACCATGTTTTCATTTGTGTATACTCAAAACTAAGATTTGTTGGGGTTTTTTGTTACCTTAGAATGAGCCATTTATATCTACGTACAAAGCAGACCCTCTTCCAAGGAGTCTGCCATATTGTTTCTACAGTAGCCCAGAATGGACAAACCAAAAACTGGCTCTAGATAGGGCCATGTACATTTTCACATCAGCCGCAGCGATATAAAAACTTTTTTTTATGTGAAACTGCTTTATTCAGTGTTTTTAGCACTTTAAATGACTTGGTCTGTTCATTTTGGAGTTAATAGTTCACCTTTGGAAAATGGTAGAAGTTTCAGTTGGCTGCCACTGTATCCTACACACTAGACCTTCAATAAAAAGTGATCTGATGCTTGCTTCTTTTATCTATGAATCTTTCTGAAACTTGAGTTCATGGCCAAAAGAAGCTGCAAGTGACTCAGAGTAGAGTACAGTTGAGATTGAAATAATTCTAATTCGTATCTGGGCTGAAAAGTAGCAAAGATGACGCATCATTTCACAATCAATCCTCCAACCAAGGAGGAAACAGAAGGGGGGCAAGCACCAGTTTCCTACCAAAAGGCCCAATTACACCAGTGAGAATATTTGGAGTCGTCTTGGGTTCCCACAGAGAAAGGATCGTTTCCCCATGATAACTGGGACCATGTGTCGATGGTCCCTTTGCAATATTAAGTCTCTGTCCGCATGCAGCCATGAAGGGGTTGCATCACAGGCGTTCCTGGAGTGTCCAAAGAAAAGAGTCCTGGCATCGAGTCAAAACAAGCAAGAAACAACAGAGATCCCATCACCCCTTATCAACAACTCATTTCCCCATCAAAACTTCTCACAGCTCGCTAACAGCTTACATGCCTGATAACACATTCCAAACAGTCGCCGAGGTCATATGATGCTGACAGATGAGTTTTGTAATGACAGTAACAGCAACAATAAAATTAACAACATCAATAATAACAATAATATTTGCCCCAAAGGTACCTATACACAAAGAGCATGTTTTTTTCTATAAGTACAAAGAAATCCACAGAATGATACTATATACAACCTACAATAAATACTGTGTATCATATATCTTACTGTTTGAGAGGATGTATGTGGGGTTTTGTTTGTAAGCCTTTTTTTTCTCAGTTTGCCTTTTTTCGGTTTGTGGATTTTTTTTCACGTTTGCTACTCTCAATGAGTCTCTCCCAGTTTTCACAGGGTGGGGGGAAGGGTGGTTGAGGGTGTTTCAGACACAAAGCTGGGCTCCTCATGTCTCTATGTCTTCCTGCTCCTCGTTCTCATCCCCCTCCCCATGATGCCGGCGGTTGCGGGGTTTCTTCTGCTCCTTGAGCTCCTTCAGGTCTTTGGCCTTGAGGGCACCCAGCAGTGGGTCTCCGAACTGCCAGTAGTCCTGGCAGTACTGATTGATGAGGCTCATCTCTGGCTGGCTCAGGATGGTCAGCAGGTCTTTGTACTGGCCTGCGCTGGGGGTCCACTGGGTGCTGCTGGAGTGGAGAGAGGACGGCGTCAGCCCTCCGCCACCCTCCACCAGCACGTTGTTGACAGCGCGGCTCGACAGCACCACCAACTGCAACTTGACCAGTGTGTGTTTGAAGTTCTTCTCCGTGGCTGTACATTGGTACATACCGGAGTCAGAGGGCTGCAGAGATCGCAGGAGTAGACCTTGTTCTGTCTTCAAAATCCGACCATCAGAACGCATCTGCAGATAAAAACAGCTCATAAAAAACCTGTGATATATAACTGAATGTTTTAACCATGCACCCACAGTAAATTAGTTAATCTCTTGCCCTTATTTCATTTTCTGGCTAGCTGCGTTATTATGTGAAAACATTTGGGGCTCTAGTTTCACAGACCGGGCGCGGCGGGGGCACAGCGCACCTGCGCTTCGCCAACTGGGTGTGGCCAGGCGGATTTTGTAAGTTTGGCACACCATGCGCCTGGCGCAGCTACTCCTCTTTCCCACCTCCGTCCCTCCTACCGGCGCAAGTCAGAAAGAGGGAGGAGAGAAGGCATAGAGTGGGTTTTACACACATCACACCAATCAAATGAGCCCCTCTCCTCGCCCTTAAATGCGCCGCGCGAAGGTGTAATGAGAGTTTACTCAATTCGCCATGGCAGAAGAGAGCAGCAGCGTCAGACAGCCAAACTCGTCCCAGGAGGAAACTTATGTTTTGGTCCGGGAGGTCTGCTCGCAGTGTCCGAATATACGGAATTGTGAGCAGACCTCCACGGGCTGATGATGCAAAGGTAGCCTGGGAGGAGGTCACCACAATTGTAAATCAATGTTGCGTTTCTCTCGTGCGCGCACACACGCTCTCTCTTTCTCTCTTGCAGTCTCACTCTGTTTCTTTTCTTTTGATTTTTCTAAGATGACAGATGCTGAATATATACTCCCTATCTGATGCTGTGGCTGTTTGTGGTTGGCTGAGAGGGATGTGAACTCATTAGTTTGCAGGCTGTGTTAATCAAATCAGATTGGGTTTCCATTACGCGTGCCAAAAGTGCCAAACAGTGCCAATCCCCTTTGATCTGACATCACATGTGACGGGACAGTCGGCATAGAGATACATTTATGTGCTGATTGCAGATAGTTGCATTGAATAGTGGTTTTGTGGCTATTTATTGCATAGTTAATGTGCCTGATATTCTGGAAACCTGCCTGTGAGGTTTTGGTGACGTGTGCACACTGTCAGCCGGTCAGCCAAACTTCGGCTTACACCGGCTGCGCTCCCCCTGCGCTGACAGTAGACCTGGTTTCAGATGGCGAGCTTTTAGCGCACCTTCGGCGAAGCCTTTTGGCACGAAACTGTCACTGCACCAAGCTGGATCTATCAGCACCTCCCCCTGCTGCGCCGCCACACCCATCTCAGCGCACCTCGGTCTGCCAAACTACCAAACTTAGCGCGCCTCGGGTTGTGCTGCTGGAAACTAGCTCTGCGCGGGATTCGCCACCCTGCGCTGCGCTGGGAAACTAGAGCCCTTGGTCTCTACTGTTTAGCTAGCCTTGGCCGCTCTGCACTGCACACCAACCAGATTGGATGGGAGCTAGCTAGCGGCACCACTCATTGGGCAATTACAGCTGGCAATACCATCCCACAGGGACAGCTTTGCTGTGGAAACATACTGGGCATACTCCTGTCTCCCCCCAGGTGGCACCGGTGAGTAAGCAGCTTCACTTTAAGCCACAAAACTCCTTAATAAGCATTTTTACCACCACTAACCCCTCTGATGCTGCTAATGCTGTTAAAAGAGCTGACAGCAGTAACATAGTTGACCGTGCTAAATGGGTTTTGTGGGTCAACATTAAGCTGCTTATTCATTGGACTGTAGGGGAGACCAGAGGGTGGGCACAATGTTTCCACAACAATGCTTACCAGCAGTAATCATTGAAGAAGCGGTGCCGCTAGCTAGCTCAACCCGACCAATGGGCAGTTAATCAGCATAGTGCTAGTACCACTACTAAAACGAAGAGTGGCAAATTTGACTCAGAGACTTTCATATATAACTGGTCAAAAATATTCTCAGCAGTTAACTGTTAACAATAAATTGTTGACATCCCTACTGCTAACAATCTGGGTGGAACTCAATAGTGGAAACTGAGCAGTGGCTTTGGGGGGAAATACCAGTCACAAATGAAATGGGTTATAGTGTAGGATTTTCTTGGGGTTGTGTAAATAATGGGAGGAGTATCTGAACATGTCTACGCTAGCAGATCAAAAAGCTATTGAAGTTGTCTTGGGCTCCCTAGGTGCCTGAACCAGAAGCATAGAGCATTTTGACCAGAAGTAAATTGGTTCAGAACCTGAAAAGTTGCGCTTAAACCAAAAATAGCAGGTTTTCCTTGACCTCAGTGGGTGTGTCATGCTTGTTTTTTGGATACAAACAAATATCTGTAATAACAGGACAAAAAGGTAATCAGCTCCCAGGTAATCCATCCCACCCGCCTTCTAGTTTCCTATTGTTTACTTCCGTTGTGCATTGCGCATAAGCCCTTCATTAATGACGCATGCTTGATTCCAATGGCTCAGCTCAAAACTGGTGGAAATGCAGGCTGGTTCACTAAATAGCACCATGGTTCCAAGAATCCTGAACAAAACTGGTTCAAGAATCCAAGCTAATTTGGTGAAAAGGGGGTAATACTGTCATGGTGACTAGTGCCTGGTTTTAATATCAAATCATGAGATAAAGATAACAGCTGTGCAACATCAGGTGAAAACAAAGTTAATTTGGATAAACCTGGCTGAATGAATCTAATTTAAATGATCTACACCCCCATATTTTTAGCCAATAGTCTAACTGTTTAGGTGTCATCACCTAAACAGTTTCCACACCCATGAATCTGATCAGGTGATAACAACACATTTATTTATTCATTTTTAGCTCCGAGTCAGAAGTGCGAGGCAGCAGCAAAGTCGGCTCTGCCTGTGGGAATAGAGACCATCCAACAGAACAGTCAATAAAAGAAAGACAGCAACACTACATAGCTCCACAATAAAGCTTTAACTAGTGCCTCAGGGTTATATATCATAGCAGAGGACTTTTTCACAGCTCCCCTTCATGTGTCCTTCCCTTGGGCCTGAGGACAGTCGGAGGTCTGTGTGAGAAATCAGGCATCATTCAATCAGAGCCTGAATCATTTAATCGTGTTAACAGATAATCGGAAAAAGAATTATGCCGAAGTAATTTTTCAAATGTGTCATACTGCATATAAATTTCCATCTCTCCTTGACAACAAAGTAACAAACTGAAATGAAATACAGGGGCCCACCTCCATATGAATATGTCCAAAAGAAATTTTTCATGTTCATCTGTGGAAATGCTCATCTACAACTAACCCATGTCAGTAAAGTTCTAGCCAATTCAATACGTCAGGAAGTTTGTATTGTGCTTTATATTGGATAAATATGAATGTTAGTAAACTACCCACAAGTACCATTATGCTTATATTACCATCATCTTTGAGAAATACACGATGTGGCGGCTCACCTCTTTTCTGCGATCGCTGTTATCTCTCTGCAGATGCCATTTGATAACAGCATGTGGAGAGCGGGCCTGACACTCCAGGAAGGTACTGCTTCCCTCCACCCCATACTGCACCATCTCCAGAGTGTTCTTATTGGCTGCAGGGCATAGAGAGAGGGGGATTTCCATGGCAACCAAAACACTCATTACCATAAACTCCTTACAACCAAAATCTCAGTTGTGGCAAATCAAAGTCCTTTAGCAATATGTCTGTCACAGATTACCATAAAACTGCCAGAATGCAGTCATACAGCCCATAGCTATGAAACCTTGAACTGTTTGAGCAGCAATAATGAGATATTTCATTGTTTTCATCCTTCTGAGTTCATTAATAACCAAATAGAAGCAGAAAATAAAACTCAGGAAGGTAAAGAACAGGCATCTTACTGTTAGAGTTGAAGCCTCGGCACTGGCGAATGGGGTTCCCGTACTTGACGTCCTGCCTCCGGCTACGTCTAAAGGGGTCAGACCAGTATTGCCGAATAAGGAGAGAAAAAAATCATAAAGCAACTGCAAGCCATTCAAAGCCATTCAACAATACATAAAGCCATTAAAGGGTAACTTAAGTATTTTTCAACTTGGACCCTATTTTCGCATGTTTGTGTGTGAAAGTGACTAATGGAAATGAACATTTTTGAAACTGGTCCAGTGCTAAGCAAAAGGGCTGCAGCCTGAAGTGACGACAGAGGCTGCAATGTAACCACAAGCATTTGTGCCCTGTCAATTTCCTTCCACTGTAAGTGCTTGTTTTGCCGCTGACAGGATCACATTACTATTCTAAATGTTTAACAACATTAGGAAAGGAACCCTGTAGAGAAAGACCTTTCTACTGAAGAGTAAGATCCTTTTTGTTTCACCAGAAACAGCCCCAAATTTGCCATAACTACACCCACCAGACTCACTTTTACAAAACAGCTAATTAGCATGTACAGAGCCAGCATATTTTCACATCTAATTAAAGTTGAATTAAGGGTTTATTTCAACCAAACTTGATTTGGTAATCGCTGGCACAGTAGATAGACTAACCACAACAGCTTTAGTGAGTTTTATTTTGTTTCTGTCAACATTAAAAAAAGTGTTTTTTACAATGATAAAACTACCGTTAATTTAAATGAGGTCTGACGTTGGCAATTTTGGGGCCATTACTCATTAAATAAAAATGACTAACTAAAAGATTTATCTCTGTAGAGTCCTTTCCCTAATGCTGTCAGACACTTAGAATAACAATCTGAGCCTATTAGTGGCAAAAAGAAGCACTTTTAGTGGATGTAAATTGACAATGTATATTGCCCTGAGTGTTTAAATTGCAGCCTGTTTCACCTCTGATGGCTGCAGGCTTCTCGCTCAATACCAGATCAATTTCCAAAACAGCAGTTCCTGTTAGTCGCTTAGATGCAAAAACATGGGGAAAAAGGGTCCACATTGAAAAATATCAAAGCTACCCTTTAAAATATCAGAATCAAATGGATCTAACCACAAACCATCACCCCATTACATTCTTACAAGTATGTGAATTTACATCAATTACTGGTTACACTAATAATACCACAAGTATATGATTTATTAGTATCAGTTAGTAGTATTTATTAATTAACCACAGTTTACCCAAAGACTATGAAGAATATCAAAATACATTACAATGCCATTAAAACAGCCAGTCAGCCACTCAGGCAGTCTAAAGCATTATCCAACACACCAACTGAGTCAGTTAGGAGTTAGTGTAGTGCATGCTAACACTGCTTTTGGTGCTCACCTCTTCTGCGAGGCAGAGTACCTGGAGCAGGACTTGCCATCCCAGGCACAGTAAGGGTCTCTGGCCAGACAGCAGTCAGCACAGGCCTCACCGTACACGTCGCACCGGTGGAGAGCCAACTGAGTCAGCCCTATCACAGATGACACATACAGCTGTTGCTGTTGAGAGAGAAGAGGATGGAAAATCGTATTATACACAACGCTAGAGGACATTGATTTTAAAATAAGGGAAAGAGAAAACATCCTGAGGTTTTTAGGATAGCTGCAACAAGCAGAGCCAAATCAAAGGCAATGACGGAGATTATTAAAACTTTCTACAGTCAATTTCAAGTGGAAAGGCTTTATTTCAATTCTACATATGAATTTTAGGGTTAACAAATTCAAGTGTCCAGTACTGAAAAGCTTCAAATAACTTTAATTCAATAAGCTCAATTTGGATCTCAAAATGTAAGTCCACATAAAAAATCTGGTTGGCTTGATCACATTCAGACACAAATATTCAAGACATGAGATTCAGACCTGAACATCTGGGATACCAGCAATGAGCAATCAAGCCTGGGTAACTGAATTTTCTATCCAAAATTGTGAATTGGAGATGAGCAATATGGTTTATTAAAAATATTGCGATATTTTAAGGCTGTATTGCAATACACAATATTTATCTCAATATTTTGAAATCTCTTCTAAACTACTAAAATACTAAATAAACTACTCATAATAATAAAGGCAAAAGTTAAGTTAATAAATTACAATATAGTTAAGTACTGTTATAATCAAGTTAAATGAAAAAAGATTACAATAAACTTAATAAAGTACTGCTACAATGAAGTTAAATAAAGTATTGTTATAATAAAATAAATCAAAGCAGAACCACTGGTGCTTTTATTCTGAAGAACCCAGTTCGTCTTGGGCAGGAAGTGTTAATACTTTTGCTGCAAATCTGAAGCTTCCGGTCAACCGTTAGCGGTTACAGCAGCACCATTAAAGATGAGGATTTATTCAATGTGAGCGGACTAACAGCTCTCCAGGTCATTTATTAATAATGTTTGCAAGTCCTACAGGTGCTCCATGGTCGCAAAATGTGACTAAATGGTAGTGGTCTGGAGTCCTGAAGATAGAAAAACACACCTCAACTGGGAAATAGTGGTCTGGATGGGAGGAGGAGTGTGTGTGATGCTTCATGTTTGTGAAGCGTGTGATGCTTCATGTTTGTGAAGCAAATATACAGTCTTTTTGTGACTGTATATATTTTATATTGTGTCTTTATACATCCCACTGGGAACAAGCCGCAATACAGTGAGCATGATCAATATAATGCCCACCCCTATTGTGAACCCTAAAAGGTTTTCAGTGGCTTATATGATGCAGATCTTCTTGGCCATTATTTGCCTTACAAACCCAGACAGATGTAATGCGATGAGTGTAAAACCTAATCCTGCACTGTGCTAAAACTGCAGCAGACTCTGGATGATCTGGGAGAATACTGAGCTCATGTCTATCCGGTTGCCATCATCTTTTTATGATCAGCTGTTAAAAATTTGTCAGTCTGGCAGGCTGTGTGTAACACAAACTCTCTGTGAAGTGATGTCATAGCATTTAGAAGAGGCCAAGTACTTTATTCACAGTGAAAGACAACTCTAAACTTTTAGTGTCCTTTTTTCTCTCGTCAATGTCTTCCTTAGATTTACAGCTTTCGTATTAGTTATGAAGGGAAGCAACAGTGAAGAACAACTGTATATGTGTGGCTTATAACCTTTCTTTGTAAGACGGTTTCTTTTCTCTTTATGTGAGCAAAGATCAAACAAATCAGTTGCACACACTTGCTTACCCTTTTGGATGAGATCTTCATGGATGTAATTGGAGTAGGGACCTTGATAGAGAAAAGAATACATTGAAGGTACAGTTTGTTATCTCTCTAGCAGATGGAAAAAATGAAAAAAAAAAAAAAAACAAGTAACGAAGAACAATAAACTTATGACAAAGTGACAAGCTGTGGGTGGGAGAACAAATATGAAAGTGCAAAGAAAGTTAGATGAATATAGTAGAAGAAGAGAAAATGAAAGCTCACCTTGAAAACCTCTACCTCCTCAAGGACCAGCTCCTCAGTCTGCAGGTCATCTCTGGGCAGAACGATGACCTTCTGAACTGTTCCCTTGTCTGCGGACCACAACACACACACACACACACACACCTGTCATACCTGCAACCTCACATCCCTCCGCCTGTCAACAGTCCCTTGGGATTCCCATTTTATTCTCTCAGCAGCCTCCAACCAGGGATAATCCTCATATCAACAGGCTCCACTGTACTCCTCACCTCTGATTCGTGGCTCTCTTCACTTAAACTCTCCTCAATGACGTGAAGCTCCGTTTCACTTAGTGTACTCACTGCCGCCACCATGACAAACCTCCTCTGTCATCCTTAGCTCCCCTGTAGCCTTACCCTATTCATCTAGATGCCATATAAGACATTCCCCTGGCATGTTTGATTTCTGTTAAGAGTTAGGCATTCCTGTGAGCAGGATACCTGAGATTTATTATGACTTCTGCATTGAGCCCCAGTGCATTGCTGAATGGCGGCCTCTGACAGCAGCTGAAAGGACACACATTCCTCCACAGTGGCCCGCCATCGCACACAAACCCATTAGTCTAACAAAGAAGCCAGTAAAGAGGCGTCATATACGATATGTGAGGGCTGCGTCCTGTGTGGTGGCTGCTGCTGTTATACATGGGGCCTTATTAAAGGTTCAAGCCATGCAGACAGACAGTCTTATACTGGTGGGTGAGATTAAGGTGATGGATGTCCTAACTGTACCCCCCTTCCTTCTCTTCTACCTACCCACTATTTATTTTCTCTGCCTCCTGCTGTTGATCCACCCCTGCCCTCCAGGTACAAATCTCCTGTTGTTTACTTCATGTGAAAAGAGTGAGGTACAAACCTTTTGATTGGTTAAATTTCCACTCAAGCACAAAAGGCAAGAATGTTTTTCTCTTAATGATAAATGACTGCAGGGAGACAAGCCCTCCACTTACATGGGATTTATTTCCATGGGGGGATTTTTTTTCTCCATTATTCAGCATCTCACTGACACTGTCATTCACCATTCTGACTCTGTTTAAAGGGGTTCATGGGTTCAGACTGACATCATGTACATGTTAAGTCACTTAAAAAGTAATGATGATTTCAGAAGCAGACAAATAGCAGAGATTTGGCTCCTTCCCTCTTTCAATCAAACTAAATCAAACACATTACAAAACACTCACCGGTTCCTAAGAAGAGCACCTCATAGTTGCCGTCTGCAGCTGTCACCTGGTCCACAGTGATGGTGGTGAACTCATAGTCCACATTGGTCCGAACCACCAGGGGGCGCTTGTGTATCGGGTACACAGCATTGTACATGGCAGGGTGATTCCTCATGAAGTTAATCACTTCATCTGGATAGTCCTTAGTGGACTTCATGTTAGGGGTGAATGTACCTCCAGGGCACTGAAAGACAAACACTAACATTAACATTCTGAGCTCAGGTCAAAACCCATGAAATATAATTGACATAATCACATAAAAAGAAGCATATTTTGGAGCCTGTCTTGCAGTAGCATTCTGAGTTTGGTTATGCTGATGCCTGCATCTTGTTCACATGGTTTCTATTTGAGGTCTGAGTCAGAGAGGAGCTGTTATGCCAGCTTGCTGTGGGATTCATGTGTGGGGTCAGTGTGGATTTGAAACTTACCGTGCCGGGTCGAGGGTAGGGGATCTTCCCAGTGTAGGCCACCCACTGGTAATTGGGACCCTCCTTGTGGGCGAAGGGTCCGTTGAAGACCATGCGGATGTCTGCCATGGAGTAGACACAAACTGCTGAGCCTTTGAAGACAGAGCTTTAAGTAGAAAGTAAAGAAAGAGAAGGGTCAGGAAAATGTATCTCGCAAAATAATGAAAATATCAACAACTTGGAAAATCTATCTTAAAACAGGGCTTATTACAGGGGTTAGTGTGCACTTACCCAGAGACGGAGAAGACGCCATATATCACAGGATTTTTTGTGTCTTGTGTTGGCTGTATATAAACGTCTCCTGTAAGAGAATAAAAATAAATCACATCACTGCAAACATAATGGTTGAAGGAAACATCACGCTCCACAGCACAAACTCTTCTTTACTAATATTTACACAGCTTCTTAGTCAATCCAGCCTCTCTCAGCCAGAGGGACATTTAGGTTACTAACCCTTGAAAGGAGTGATGCCCTTACAAAGAAGCTGAAACTTCATTTTTGTTGAAAACACATGGAACTCACTATTGGATTTAGATAATGAGCAAAGTGGGATCTTGTGTTGTGTCTTGATGTTCTGTGAGAGTCCCTTGAAGTCATAATTGAATCAAAGGGGAAAAGGTCAAGGGTTCATGTGAGAATTTTTGTGCTGCTTATTAAATGTGAATGTGGTTTATTTATTGCCTTCAGCTTGGCCACAATAGTTAATGACAAGATCTAACTCTGTTAGGCTATACTTGAGTGTAGAGCTTAGATCGGGCCCAAAAAATCCAGCCCGACCCGGCCTGAGCCCATGCACGTTATGTCCGGGACCAGCCCAGCCCGTCCAATTAACTGTAATTATGGGCCCGAGCCCAATTTAAACCCGACATTTTTCAATAAGTTGGCTGTTATAATTAAGAGTATTAAACCACAAGTCTTGTTATTTGAATGACAGAAACATAGGCTCTTAATGAATGGGCAACACGGAAGCATGATTATGTAATAAAACAGGTGTTTATTTTAGGATCCAGGTGGTGAAGGGCTGTGAGTGCACAATGTTGCAACATTGTAACTAAGTTTGTTGTAACTTTATGTGTCATACAAAGTGTGGTTTAATTTTATTTTTTATAATACTGTAGCGTCCGCCAGGACATGTGGAAAGGATGACGCAATTATTCGGCAATTAAACCACCGTTTATTACTGAACAGTACAGGTTACTGTTGGCCGTAACCACGCCAAAACAACCAACAAACAGCAACTTAGCTGTAACTCCATCTGTGCACTCCTGCTCTCTCCTCCAGCTCATACACACACCAGCACGTGCACTCACACAGCCCTCCTCATCCCTATCACACTCGCACCCCGCACCTCATTCAATCCCAAACATGCCATTAACTCACAGAACACTGACATTATAACAGAACATTTACTGCAGGGTCGCTACAATACATAGCCTATAACATTATCAAATCATAGCTTTAAAAAAAAAAAAAAAAACGTCATATCTGACCGGGCCTGGCCTGGGCCCGTCAGAGGGAGGGGGGCTCCCAGCCCGACCTGGCTTGTGCCCGCGGGCCGGGTCGGGTCGGGCTCGGGCTCGGGCAGAGAATCTAAGCTCTGGTACAGTGGTGCTTTGAGCTAAATGCTAATGTCAGCACGCTAACATGCTCATAATGGCAATGTTGCTATGCTGTTTAAAAAGTACAATGTTTACTGTGTTAAACATTTTAATTTTGCGTGTTAGCATACTAATATTTGTTAATTAGCACTAACCACAGCTGAGGCTCATGGGAATTTCATTCATTTTGCAGGTATTTGGTTAGAAACTAAAGTACATTCATTCATTTTTTTCCCATGACTGTTTATTCTGTTGGTGGCCGAGAGGGGGCTAGAGCCTATCCCAGCTGATTTTGGGCAAGAGGTGGGGTACACCCTGAACAAGTTGCCAGACTATCACAGGGTTGACACATAGAGACCGAAATCCATTCGAGCTCACATTCACACCTACAGCCAATTTAAGAGTCACCAGTTAACCTAACCTCCATGTCTTTGGATTGTGGGATGAAGCTGGGGTACCTGGAGAAAACCCACAATGACACAGAGAGAAAATGCAAACTCTGCACAGAATCAATCAATCAATCAAACTTTATTTATATAGCGCCTTTCATACATCAAAAATGCAACCCCAAAGTGCTTACAGTCTATACAGTCTTCACAGTCTATGGCTGACAGGCATGTAAGAGTTAGTAGCATAAAGAGTGAAAGTCTGCGTAAGGAGAAAGGTTGGAGTGGTGAATATCAAACACCTTCCCCAGCAGACCGGTGTTTGTGTCCTGTGTAAAACCAAGTGAACTTTTAATTAATTTGAGGTATGTTGTTACGTAATGTACAATACAATACATTACTTTATGTCAAGTATGTCACATTCAACAATGTTTCTTTTCCTAAACCTAAACTATTTAACTTTACTTTCCTAAATCTAAGCAAAGTGACATTACTTAGTGTGTGTAACTTTATGTTAAAGGTGCTAATTCACTGATTCGTTAAGTGTTATAAGAACTGTTGTATGAAGATACCTTTCTTTGATAGCCATTAGTCAATCACAAAGTAGCCACGCACAAAAGCATTCCCTGGTTTATTGTCTATTTCACTTTAAATGGAACGAAACTTTTTAAAATGAAAATTCTGCTTATTTAAGAAGACTTGAATTTAGTGGTTGGGACATTAACTAGGAAAAGGTTTACTGGTTTCATGAATCTAATGATAAGTCAGGTTATTTCCTCATGGACTTAAGTACAATCAGACCTCTTTCTGTAATCAATGGAGTTGCCCCCTGCTGGCTATTAGAAAGAATGCAGGGTTACGGTGCTTTAGTATTGGCTTCACTTTCGAGACCCAAAGGTTACATCCTTCTTTTATACATTCTTTGCTAGAAACAGACTAACAGACTATCAGTCTGATAGAAATAACAAAAGGCAAAAAAGTGAGTCTCCTCCATCCAAACAGCCCTCCTGCCATTCTCATATCCTGCCGACGGAAACAGTAGGTGTAAAATCACAGCAGTCGACTTTGTGCAACAGAAAACTGAATGATGGCCTCAGGAAGGACACAGAAGGTGAAAGTTTTATTGACAAGATAATACATCATAACTGAATCTTGAGAGGCTTTATCACCTAACCTCAACAAAGCAATCAAATCCAAGTGCTATTTAACAGCAGAGCTGAGAAATCAAACAGTCTGGCTCTCTACAGTCTAGACTGGAACTACGTGATTGCTGAACCACCTGAGACTGCTCCAAGGAGACAGGACATTTAAAAACAATGAGCAGGGATTCTCCTCTTCCTGCGTCCATAGTTCATGTCGTCTATTTCAAGGGAAAGGAAATATCTCTTCTTTCCCGAAAGAGAATTGCATCATGTACTCATAAGCCAATTCTGGAGGTCTCTAAATCACAAACGTTCACAAACTCTGTCCTACAGAGCTCTGACATTGGACACTTCCTGATACACATAATCCTTTTGCTGATCTGAAAGGTCCATAGCAACAAATAAAGATGAGCTAAACATGTGATAGGTGATAAGTCTCACTGCCGTTCTGTACCTGACCTAAATACAAGTCCCAGGAGGCATGTACACTGCCAACAATAGGACAAGGGCCTTCGGCACAAAACGCGGAATGTGCATCCAACCTAGTTGCGCAGGGGAATGACCGTGGACTAAAGACGTGATTAGTGAGAGAGTCAACAAGCGAGGATGGAAGGATTAAGCTAAAAATATGACTATTAGTGGTTGGAAAGTGTGGAAACAGAAGGTGAACTGATCGATGCAAAAAGAAAAAGTATACTAATTCAGATTTATGCACTGCCAGTCCCGTATAGACCAGCATGAGAAATTAGCTGTCAGGCTGCTATGCAGACAGAATGATACATGGACGGGGTAAGCATTGTGTTTGAATCTGAACTGCTGGGCTCTGGTCCTGTCCACATTAGTGAGTTTGTACAGTCAAGCCTTCCTCTGGGGACTGTCTACAACCGTGAGCTCATTCCTGGAGAAAAGGATAAAGCTGAGAGATAGCAGGCACATTGTCCTTATTTCTCAGTACCGAATCCCCCAAAGTCACACCCATACACACACACTCACACACACCACCGTGCCATCTTCCACAGCTGCCACAGCCGGAGTAGTGGAACGGTCATGGGTTAGCATGGACGCAGCACGACGGGCTGCCATGGGTGTCACACAACAGATGATCCTTGTCATGACATACAGCTGTTGTGCTGCAGAAAAGAGCATTTTGCACGCAAGAACGCGTCACTCTGCGTATACAGACAAGACGCCTCTGAGGCCAAGATAGGGCTATCATGGATGGCATACAGTCGCTCAATACAGATCACGCCTTAAGGAAATCATGGAAAAATAGGCACTATATGATTTGCAATAAAAGCTATCCTGACAGGGCAATGATGATTTAGCTCCAGGGGATATCATGTGTTAATAACAGCTCTGAAAGGATCCATATCCCACAACCTCTTGTTCTATAATTGTATGGCAATAAAATCTCAGCTGCTGTACATCCCATTTCCTAAAAAAATATTTCATTTTCTACCTTGGTTGTTTTGTCTTTTTTAAAGTCTGCTGTCCATTCCTCGAAGTGTCTCCCCTTCTGTCCCTCTTTTGCTCTTGCTCAGCCATTTTATCTCTAGTATAGACTTGTTTTAAAGTGCTCCACGTCTAAGATGCAGGAGCTCCTTCCAATTTCTGTATGTTATTGAGTAAAAAATCATTTTAGCACTGTGTTTTCAATCACTGTGGGTCATTTAGGTCCAAGATGTCAGGTAGAGCCAATAAGTGCTGCATATTCCAACTGTAAAAACTCCCCAGGTCTCAGGCGTGCTTTGCCATAATGTCTTTCTACACAAGACCACTACACCAAGAACACAGCTGGTCTTGATATTTCAACAAACTTCTCAGTGCCTGTAGAGTGGTTTTATTAAAACTCTTAAAGAAAGGGAAAAAGTTTAAGAATCTGCTTACTCAAGCATGGCTAACTGCGTTTTCCTAACTTATCCTGGCTTTAAACATTTTGGGGAAACATGCATATAGGCTTTCTTGGCAAGAGTTTGATGAGAAGGTTGATATAACCCTTAAAATCTGCATCTAGCAATTATGAAGCTACAGCCAGCGGCCAGTTAGCTTAGCTTAGCATAAGTACTAGAAACAGGGTAAAATAGCTAGCCTAGCTACAGTATACCATAATACTTAGTGAGCTTTAGAGGTGCTGCAGGATGATTTTGTTGAATTTGGCCAGCGTTTTCCCCTGGCTTCAGTCTTTATGCTAAGCTAAGCTAAGCTAAGCTAAGCTAACTGTCTGCTGGCAGTACATTTATATTGAACACAAAGTCACAAGAGTCTTATCAATTTTCTAACTTTCAGCTAGACAGCGAATAATTTCTCAAAACATCCAATTAGTCTTTTTTAATACTACCCTCATATCTGTAAAGTAATTACGAACCTAGAGCCAATTAGCTTAGCTTAGCATAAATAGTGGAAACCGGGTAACAACTAGCGCTGGAATACTGGTTTTTGGACAGTTTAAACAAACCAAATGCAATATAACGTATTTATTAGAGAGCTTTAGACATGCTTTGACCTGGCCAGCTCTTTCCTCTGGTTCCAGTCTTAATGCTAAGCTAAGCTAAGCTAAGCTAACTGTCTCCTGGCAGTAGATTCATACTGAACACAAAGTCACAAGAGACTTCAAAATCTTCTAATTTTCAGCAAGACAGCGAGTAGGCTATAAAGTGCTATAAATCTTAACATACTGGAAACAGGGTAAAATAGCTAACTTTGCCCTGTCCAAAGGCAATACATCTGCTTTTCAACACCTTAAAGTTCAACAAGTGTGAGAGCTCATATGCAGGAATATTTCTTGGCACTGGAATCCTGGCAACTCTTGTAATTTTTAAACATAGGCTATACAGTATAACATGGCAATTATTGAGCTTTAGACATGCTGGTAGGTTGATCTTGTTAATTTGGACTGGCCAGGTGTTTCCTATGGCTCCAGTCTTTCTTTTAAGCTAAGGTAAGCTACGCTAAGATAGGATAATTGTCTCCTGGCTGTAGCTTTATATTGAGTGTACAGTCATTAAAGTGGTACCTTCTTATCTTACTCTCTTCAAGAATGGGAAGACTGCTATGTGTGGTTCTCGAAATGGTCAACTAGTCCTTTAATGACCTAAATCCAATGTGCAATTAATGGGTAATAGTTAAAGACAAATTTGCCCTTGAGAAATCCTAAAATCTTCCACTTCCCGCTGTAAACACAAAGTCTCAGACATGTGACATGTGAAGCTATTAACATGAAACTCAGTCATATCCAATTTACTGTCCCCTCTAGGAGTCCTTGGCAGGGATGGCTGCTCTGCAAACTGACATGTAGTCTTCTCTATGGGCATGTCTACCCTGTCATGCCTGTTCTCGGTCATTCACTAGCCTGTTCCACTACACATTTACAGCCATACTCAAGCAATATCCGTAAAATCATCACCAGCGCCAAACACTGACGACTCTCCAACTCTGTCACAGAACCACTCTACGCTGCACGCCCATGTCAACACTGACCTGACCAGTAAAGACAGAATCCTCATTTGTAAAGGCAAAGTGGGCCCATTCACACTCAGAACAGCTCTCACATCATTCTGGTGAAGTGGCTGCACACACGAAAAGGCCACAGTGTTTTCAAGTGTGTGTCACTCTTTTAGTTGTTCAAAGAGGGATAAAATAAATGTCACCTGTAAAAACAAAGCAGTGCTTTTAGAACTGCAGGCAGGTTGAGATAAAATGAGTGTCAGGGAGATAAAGAGACAAAAAACGATCATCAGATTCAACAGGCATGGCTTTTTTCATTCTTGAGATTAGTTCAAGAGCAACAGTTGTCTCACGCATCAGTCCCCTATCACTATTTGGCTCTATTTTAAACCAGTGAGACAGAAAGAGAAAGAGCTTCCCCTGGAGAGGCTAATAGTCTCACACTCACAGACATTCCTGCTTGGTGATCTGATCTGCCCACCATCGGGCCACCCCCTTTACACACACAAAAAACAGACACTTTTGTTTAAGACATCTTGAAAGACAACTACAGTGGTGGGATTATGAGTGTCATTTTCATTACAGTATGCAGTACGGGCCAGGTGATGGGAGTGGGCTGCTATATGGGCCAAGGACTGAGAGCTGGTGTGTGTGTGTGTGTGTGTGTGTGTGTGTGTGTGTGTGTGTGTGTGTGTGTGTGTGCGCGTGTTTGCACAAGCACACTCCTGGCAGGTGCTGCAGTGGAAACAGACCCTGCAGTAGACTATTCTCTACTTAATATTTTATATGTTATCATACATGACAAGAACCTGAAAATGAATATGTCTGAAATAAATCCATGTCATTTTTTGTATTTTTTCTTTGCCATTCAATACCTACTGTCAAAATGATTAAATGCCAAAGAAGAGATTTCTTTCAAACAGGCTGTGACAAAAGTACTTGACTAATAATGAAATAAAATAAAAACTAAGTAGTGTTATACTACAAAAAGTAGTATTTCAGTGTTAAAACAAATTTTGCTATAACATATCACAGATTGACAAAATGTTTTAATATTTAAAAGAGACTTGCTGCTTTTCAGTATTTTGTCTTACAGTAAGTAACCAAAGTGGGCGGCTCAGTGGTGTAGTGGTTAGAATTGTTGCCTCACAGGAAGAGAGCTCCCGGTTCAAACCCTGGGGTGGGGGAGCGCCTCTGTGTGGAGTACCATGTTCTCCCAGGGGGACTCTAAATTGGCCATAGGTGTCTATCTCTATGTGTCAGCCCTGTGATGGTCTGAGGACCTGTCCAGGGACAGGTTGTGTTCAGAAGCTTGTATTGATCATTTTTCACAGTAAATAAACGCCACTATTGTTCGTTACTGTCATTACCTGGCTGCCAGTAACGATGCAGAGACCAGAGAGAAATAAAGAGAAATGTGCTAAACATAGTCTTCTCAAACAAAGGGTGAACACAGATGTTGGAGCACAGATAGTATGAGGAAACTAAAGTGTTTTTCAACAATTAAAGCATGTAAAAATATTCAAGTAGAAACCTTCTATTTAAATCTATTTAAATGTTTTACTTGCAAAAATATGATGCCTTCCTAAATATTGTGGGTGTTGATAAAAGTAGTAGATAAAACTAGCAATTTAACATTTTAAAGACCAAATGATTACTCAGTTAATAGAGAAAATAATCTGCAGATTATCTAATAATAGCAATAGTCAGTAGGTTTAAGGATAGATGTGTTAGATGTAATCTGGCAAAAGAGCAGTGAAGCAAAAGGAAAAGGCATCACAGGGCTGACAGCATATGTGATTGACAACGAAATATCTACAACACCCCCCAACCACACCAATTATTCTACAGATCACCAGGCCAATTGAAAATATTGAAAGAGACCACAGCGTTATCTCCATGTGCAGGTGCGAAGATTTTTGTACTTACGCAGCTCATCAAAGTGCGTCTCCATGCCGTCGGCGCCGGGCACTGAGCAGATGAGCCTGGCCTTCAGGAAGGTGCTCCACTTGTTAACCAGACAGCAGTGGCCTCCATCATCGTTCTGTATTGGAGAGGGTGGAGACAGGAAACAGTTTCCCCATCACTCGCTCAAACTCACATCCTACTCTGTCTTCCTAATAAAAACAAACCCAGGTGGAGCCACCCACACACACTATACAGTACATGTTGGTTTGCAAAGCCAGGAAGCTAAAAGGAAGGGGTGGGGAGTGGTGAGATGGTAAACACTGTCTCCTCCTATTTAGACTCTTCCATCTGTGGTGGAGCGAGGCCAGGATCTATCCCAGTAAGAAAGAGCTGAGACCAGTATGTGCTTTAAATTCCTCCATAATCAGTATCTTTAGCGAAAGCTGATGAGAAAGCATGTATATTTTAATATTTCATTTTAAAGGGTGGATGTAAGCTTCTGATTCCTCATGCACTTCTGATGAATCCCATTTTGGGAGTTGAAGTGTTTTTCTAATTTCCAGTGTGACTACAGTATGTGGCAGAGTGTATTTTTGGTGGTATGCAGGGTGCAGAGAGTGGCAGTAAGAGTATCCAGATGTGTGGCAAGTAAGAATGACAGGACCGGGTCTCTGGAGGCTGCTGAGAGGGGGACGAGTGTTTGTGTGCCGGGTCAGCACCTGACCTCCTCAAATAATTACAAAAGGTGAACAGCTGAGGCGACGAGCACACGTACAGCACATTTTCTCACTTACACCCGTGCTCACACACCCCACTGTAACACTTATATATGCACGCAAAACCATAAGGGAATGTGTACACTCACACTCACACTGCATAAACACCAAAAGTTGCCTCATGAGCTCTCCAGAGACTTTTGTTGTTATTTGTTTTGTTGCTTGGCTCACTGTGGAGAAAGTCTACTTTAAGTGAGACGGACTCTAAAAGAAAGGTTTTTTTCTTTGCTGCCATGTACACTAAAAGCTTCAAGTGTTTTAGGACTACCAGGGAGAAGAGGTCAGAAGATCACAGGGTCAGAAGTCAGAGGGCGACCTCCCAGACAGAGGGAAGCATTGTACACAGGAAGGTTAAAGACACATGTGGATTCCAGCACGTCAGCGTTGGCCAAATACTGGATTGCCTCAGGAGCCTCCAGCCTGTTTTCCATATCGATGCAGGTTTTCTTTTCATTATGTTTACACCCAAAAACAAACATGCTTCTCGCTGTGTACACACCAGGCAGATGCGTCCTATACGCGACTGGGTCACAGGACTCTGGCCCATCTCGGAGGATTTCTCCCGAAAGAAGAAATACAGCTTGTCGTCATTTCTCTCTGCGCTGTCAGGGATGAGGTGTACATGGATGAAAGTGGGGTCTGTGGGGAGAAGAGGCAGTGAGATGTTTAGGCAGAGAATGAATTTGGGAAAGCATCTGGCTGAAATCTTTTCAAAACTATCAGCGTTTCCTGTTTATCACTTGTTGAGGGACTCTAAACACATGTTAACACCAAAATCTTTTCATTTCAGCCATACATTTGGAACCCTGTTTTTTCGTCGTATATTGAAAAACCATGCAGGAAGGCTTCACAAGCTGGATGAAAGCCTGATGTATCATTTATAGGCTAAATAGGACATTTACCGTTTAACCATCTGGAGTTGTACTGATCTGTTCGCATGGCAGTCTTTGTTCCCAAAGTACGGAAAATGGCAGAGTCTGTTCCCATAAAGTCAACATAGACCCCAGCGTACAGTTCACCATCTGAGAAAGAGAGAAAACAGCTCAGTTTAGTGAAATTCCTTGACTCTGACATTCCAGCACCGCCCTTGGCACAACACACCAAGGCTTTTATTTCAAAATTTATATTTAGAAGCCAACATCTGAGGACTCTTTATTCCACAATACAGAAGCCCAGCTCAACAAAGTTATCATCTACACAATTATCTCATTTCGACACAAAGTGATAAGGATGATACTGCCACTCAAGATGCTAGTGGTCAACCCCCAATAGTTTCTAAAAAGTTACGAGAAAGGAACTGATGACGTAACTGTAATTTGTTAGAAAGCTTTCTGCAAAGGATGATGTACTTTCAATAGTCTAATTTACAGAAGAAGAAAAAAAACAGCATTCCATTGATTATTAGCCAAGCCTTGTCACCCTTGGGCTATTTGTTATGCCTGTTAAGCTTTATATTCTAGCATTGTACATGATGTAGTTTACAATAGAGTTTTTCTGTGAGGTGACGTGGAGGTTAGTGTTGCCCTTGCTGCAGCGTCAAAAAGCCTATGGGATTTTTTCATTGGATTTTGGTTTGTTGCAGAAGCAGTTGAAAGCAAATGTTTATGATATTTACACATTTTGTTCAGCAAGAAAATATTCACAAATGAACACCCCTGTTTATGATTTTTGAAGCCTAAATGCAGTCGCTAGGGGTAAAAAGCTAATGTTAGGCTGTAAATGAACTACTCAGTGGACACATGACATTACAGCGTTGTAACCACAACAAGACTGTTAAGAAGCTGTGCTGGCTTGATGACGTCTCATTTAGCCACTTGCTAGCAATCACCTTTTTAAGACATATTGAAGCCTAAAATTCAGGCTGGGGTCTTAAGTAAGTAAGTAACAATGTTGTAAAACAAAAAAATCTCTTGACCTTGTGTTAACCCACAGACCTTATTTCTGGCATCTACCCAAAAACATATTAAAAACAACCACTGAGTTTGAAACAAGGAACTGTAAGTGCAAAAATGCTAACTCATTTCTGTGTCTCCATTCCTGCAGCACTCAAGGGGCAGACTTATCACTAGTCTTCGCAACTCTTCGAATACATCTATGTATCTATATACATCCATGTATATATATATTGGAAGAGTAGCAAATTTATATTTATTCATATTTTATTTTATTTTTTTCCTTAAAAGCTAAAAAGTATAATAAAAAAAATAAATATATATGTAGGCCTATGTAGTCTCAGAGTTACTTCAGAGGAAACCACTGAGAAGTTAAGGGACACATAAAATGAAGCATTACCGAAAACATTGCCCAAACTTTCTAAAACAGCCTTCGCATGCACGCCATAAAGACATTAAGTATGAGCACATCCATGTGTGCAGACTGACAAATGTATACAACAGCCTTGTTAAGCCACAGGAAGGAAAGGTGTTGGTCCTCCAGCTGCTGTAAGGGCCCCACTGGAGAGCAGGTGTGACTGTCAGAGCTCTTGGAGATGGAGTGAGCAGACAGCAGGAGGTAGAGCAGAGGAAACAAAAAACACTGTCCTACCACCACTATATCCAATGTCATGGTCCTCATCAGCGCTATATGGAGATTGATGATATATCATTAAAATGTCCGCGGATGACGGGATGTCTAATGTGGTGGAGAGTGGAGCAGCCAGTGGGCAATGGTAAATCTGTTGTTGTGGTGCAAGGTTCTTAATCCTTACCAACACTAACTACAGTGTCCCTTGTATGATGCTAACTGGTGGAAGTGGGAGATAAATCCATCTTGGATGACAGTACTGGTTCCATACTGGTCAGCTGGCACTGTGCTAATGTGGGAAAGTAGTGCAAGTGATTTACACCTGCTGTCTCACCCCACAGACAGAAGATCGCCTTTCACTGGTGGCAACTGTGTGATCTCGACCTGACTGCATGACCTTGGGTAAAGGGACAGAGGACACTGCCTTCATGAATGCTACAACAGATGATAAGCTAAGATGATAAGCCTTGGTACATGTGAATTTACTGTAACAGCACAGATAGACAGCAAATTTAAAAGTGGGGTACACTTCTTCACTTCAGAAAATTAGATGACCAGTAGATGTCATTTGTTTTCAATTTTTTGGTCCAATGACTTTGTAAGGTGTTGGACCACCATAAGTCTCCAGAGCTGCTTCAATACTCCTTGGCACTTATTCTGTAAATGATTAATTAATTATTTAATTAATGTACAGTATTTATTCATTATATCTATTGTTTGACTAAAACATGCAAATACCAACCAAATTGGCAGAAAAAAAATTGGCGTTGTACATGTCCGCAAACCACAGATTTGTTACATTTGTATGTTCTTATTTAATCAATACATTGAAACATTTTTGAAACATAAAATTTGTTTACGTTTCAAAAATGCTGTGGTGAATTTCATGGTTAGGTTAGGGCACAAAAAACATCTGGTTATAGTTAGGAAAGGTCATGTTTTGGCTTAAAAAAAAAGGTTTTAGGGGCACTATTCCAGCAGGCAATGCAGCAATGTCTCGGTAAAAAACAAACATAGGCTTTTCGTAGCACTATCCCAGCAGAAAATGCAGTATCCTTGTTGGAAAAACAGCAACAAAACAACCTTATTTGACACTTAAAAAGTAACTGGAAACTAATTAAAACACAACTGGCTTTGTTGTTTGTTGGTCTGAAACAGTGGTCTACAGCTTTGCAAAGGTCTCACCTATGTGTCATGCCATCTGCCATCCCCTCCACCTCCCAATGACAAAGTCAGTTCATATACTACGATACTTTAGAAACACTGGTGTGAGACATATGAGATGTGCAAATGTGACGTATTTGTGGTTTGCAGAAATGTACATTTTCTTCTGGTGACTGGACTTCAAATAGGCTACTTCAGGCTCAGTGGGAAGTAAGACTGTGTGAGCCCTGGTTCATATGGGAATAAAGATCATTTTACTTTTCAAATGGTGATAAAAGCACTAAATAGCTTTCCCAACATGTCCTTAGTGTTTTGATTGGAGACCACTAATTCCCCAGTGAGAGGTTCACATATTAATAGGCACATATTATTGAGTCCATCTCTACCCTAACAAGGAAATATTATCGAGCATACAATGATTAGGCTGATTAAACCCAGCAGCTCACTGTGGGAAAGAGACACAGAATGTAAAGGACACTCGGCCTGACTTCTTGACTTCCTCTTCAATGGCAGACGATAAATATTTTCTGTTAAAAAACATTGCCATAAACATAAATTGTGAGCGGAGGGATGGCCATATAAAGAAACAGGAGACAAAAGATGAAGAATCCATATGGGATGACACTGCCGTTGCTATAAAGACCACTGGGCCTGACTGTGCCCGTGCCTACGCCCTCATGTGACCAAACCCAGATGATACTCACTGATCAAAGCTGACACGCTGTTGAGCTTCGGGTCGTAGGAGCACTTTCCTTTCCCAGATTCCACTTTACCCGGCTCCAAATGGAAGATTTCTTCCTAGAATGGAAAAATCATAGAGAGACAGCAATAAATTCAGTGCTCTTCATCTTGTCACTGTGATTCCCTTGTGTAGGGAAAATGAGGCAGAGAATGTGCTCCCACTGACTCCTGTGGGACCTACACGGCCTGATGGGGGATGAAGTATTAGAATAATGAGCGTGCGTTCATACAGAAAAATACATGCGGGGAAAGCAAGGAATTTCTAATCCACCTCTATGCCACTTTACTATGGAAAACAATGTGTCGTGGGCTGCTTCTCTCGACATAATAAGCTGCATGCCAAATATCTCTCAGCTTCTCGGTGCCTGTGGCTGTGCAGGCCTACTGCTGACACCTGTAATCCAGCACAGTGAAAACAAACCTGGGATGGAGGCTGGATGACTGATGCTCACTGCTCGTGGCATCCCTGCACGCAAGCACTGAGAGGTGATTGGCAGGAATTTGCGTATGAGAGTGGGGGGAAATGAATCGGTGGCATGTGATGACATGTCCTGCAGCCCCGCCTCACAGACCAGAGCATGTCCAATCCCCATTTGTTCACTCCCAACGGGTGCAGAGATGGAGACATCTCTGTCATTGTGCATCAGCGCTAAAGCAGGGCAGAGAATACGGCACTGTGCCAAACTCACTTCACTGGATCACCCTTGTGCAATTCCCTACTCATCTTTGATTAAAATCACCACTCGTGCAAATGAGGAGGTGCTGGCAGCTCACTCCCAGCCATGCCAGATGTTGATGTGTAAAAAAAAAAAAAAAAAGGTCACAAACATTTATGTGTACCAGAGGGAAACTACCCTGAACATGTTTTTACAACCCCGCTGTAAAATATGACCCTTCACAAAAGTTGCAGCAGATAAAAAAATGACTAGAAAAACTTGCAACATTTACAAAGTGTCCCACTTCACCTAAAGCCTTTATGTCCTACAAGAGTCCCTCTCTGTGTTTTAAAGTGCTTGGAGAGCTCAAACAGTGGAGACATGTTCAAGTATGTGGCTTTTTTATTTCCTTTGCTTCACAGCTAGTTGGCTACAGATGGCTGGTGTTTGCTCTGGGCTAACAGAGTGTGGGAGTGGGTCAGATGCTGACTAGTCCCGCCGCCTCTGTGGGAGAGACTGCACCACATTCCTACAGAAGGTGGAGGGCTCGGTGCGGTGAAGGGCTGATGGGTGGGACATCCTGCATCGCCTCAGATAAGCCGGATGAATGATTCGGTTATCTGTTGTTCATAGGCGCTGCTAAATATATGCTGAATAAAATATGAATATGCCATGCACTGAACAGCGGTGAAAGCCTCTTTAATTGAATTTAAGCCTAGCAAAATGCAACAGAATTCTTTAGCAGCCTGAGAAGCCATTTCCACTTGATAACCCAGCTTCCATGCAAAATATGACATTTAGCACAAATGCAAAGCACAAATAGAGAATGACGGAGATGAAAGGGTGCTCAGACAATGAGGCTTACACAAAGAAAATGTGAGTGAAACACGGGTGAAACAAAATGAGGTGACATTAAATGCAGTTCCACATTAGACAAAACTTTAAGATTGTGCACGGATTGTAAAAGATGCATGCCAAATGTTACGGAGATGAACAAGTGATGGCCAGGTTAAAGATGGGGTTGACAAAATGTGCTCAGTCACAAAACAGAGGGAGCGTGCTGCTGGTGACCACGAGCCCAGGTGGTTTGCAGGGCTGCGGTGCAGACAGGAGCCCACATCGCACCTTTAGTCCAAGTGTGTCGTGCACCGCGCTGGGTTCAGCTGCGCGGCTAGCCCTTCCTCTGGCCTGGGCCATCTGCAGATACAGGGATGTCTAAAACAGGAAACAGCAACACAGTCTGGATGTTACGCCACTGATGAGGAAGGATCAAGGACCCTCCTGAGCTCCACTTGCATCTCTTGAATCTGTCCTGACTTCAAGACACGGTGAGAAAAGTCCCCAAACCAATACTACTGAAATTAATATAATGTAAGTGTATAAGGAAAATACTGTGTGTGTGTGTGTGTGTGTGTGTGTGTGTGTGTGTGTGTGTGTGTGCGTGCGTGCGTGTGTGTGTGCACCATTACACAGGGAATGTGTGTTGCTTTATTTGACCAGATGGTTCCCAATCATGTGGTTGAGTCAATAAAGGCTCTCACAGTATGTTACATACATTCCTCTCAAAGCTTTGCCAAAGCAAAACATTTGGCTATTACCATTTACAAAAGCTACAAGACTCCGACTTAAAGCACTGGAGAACTAAAGAATATACACTGCATTGGTGTAATCAAATGGTCTTTCTGGATCTTTAATTCAAAGTGACATGAACGCTTCCCTGAAGGTGCTGTTTAAAACATAAGGCACTAGATGTCACACTCTCTCTCCCCCCTTCCATTACATTCGCATCACCACACAGCTGTTGCTCAAAGCACAAGAGGTTGCTAGTTCCTTGTAGCCTACAACCTGTAGATATTTCATGGTCGAGTGGACAGACTGATTCAGTCATGTCAGATGGTGAATCTTCCTTATTAGATTGATTAATTCATTTTGGAACATGTAGCTATATAATAGCTTTAGATTTAGGTTACTTTGTGCTAGGATGTTTCAAGATTCATGTGACATAGACCTAATCTTAGGATATGGCTACCATTAGCTAGCCTTGGGTAATACTGTGCCATGACAAAAAAAGTTCCACCCTTATTGGTTTTATGTCTCATCATTTTTGCTGTTTTATATCAACAGGCTACAGTCCTTTTCTTTTTACTCCCCTGAGTTCTGGTGCCAGCCCATAGTAACGTTACTGTCATGACTTGCCATGCTCTTGCTCTCTCTCTATTCATCATGAGACCTTGCAGTCCCACTAAAAGACTACTGCTGTGGGAGTGTGAGCTCTGCGCCAGGGACAGTTGGTGAGAGTCTGTTCACCGTGTACATGCACAATAACAGGGCTAACTGTTAGCATCACATAGCTAATGTTATTAAAGGGTTATTAACGGGTTTAACGTCAAAGACAAGCCTTTTCTGTGTCGACATGAGTTCGTTAGGACTGTTCAGTGGCTCAGTTTCAGATGTTAGCTGCTGCCGCTGTGTTAGCTCATGCTAACCAGGCAGATGTTGAACTGACTGTTCACTGGGAGGAGAGCAGCTCCGGAGACAGTCCTCCACTAGTAGACTACTGCTGCCGAAGTGTGAGCTCTGCACCAGGGACAGTTGAAAGTCTGCCTGTCCCGCACACACACAATCACAGAGCTAACTATTAGCATCATACAGCTAACATGACCTAACAGTTAAAAAAATAATGAGAGAGACGAGCCTTTTCAGTGTTGGTGTGGGTTTGTTGGGAAAGTTTGAATGGCTTGGATTTTAGTGGCTGCTGTTGCGTTAGCTCATGCTAACCAGGCAAACATTGAGCCGACCATTCGCAGCACTGCCCACCACCAGGTTTTAAACCATAGCTTTTACTGGTCAAGAAGAAAGTAAGACTCCTTCAGCTGACTCTAAGCGCTTATTGTTAGACTCAGCCATTTTTTCTTTTTTTTTTCCACACAAAGTGGCCACTACTAAGAATCTTGATCGCTTATGACACTGAGATAATAAATGATACCAACACAGCAATACTGGCTCACAGGCTTTGTTAGAAGTGGTAATCAAATGTTACACATCTTACACAGAGGTAAACTAAACACTAATTTTGGACCCATCAGATTTTTTTTAAATGATTAATTCACAATTTTGTTTTTTTTAACATTGCTTTGGGGATTTTTTTCTTTATTGGACAGGACAGTCTCAAGCATGAAAGGGGTAGAGAGAGGGGATGACATGCAGTAAAGGGCCACAGGCTGGAATCAAACCCATGGCTGCTGCAGCAAGGACAATGCCTTTGTACATAGGACGTCTGCTCTAACCACTAAGCTACTAAGGAAAAGCAATACTTTTGTTTTGCACCTTTCTAAAAGCTCTGTAGATGTTTTATTTTTGAACAATTAAAAATTGTGTCAGGGTATGTGTGTGCATGCGTCTGTGTAAAGTGTAACATTTCATGCTTTTGCAATCATAGGTAACTCCCCAGCCCAGCTGAGAAAGTCGGTCACGGGGGGACGACTCAGACCTGTCTGCTCAATGTGACGGAGAAAAAAACAGCCCTCTCATTAATGGACTAGAACTGGAACATTCCACTGGCACCCCATAATGGGAGCTCCCACTTCCAATTACCCAATGTCTCACATGGTGGAGGCTGGCGGGTGGACTGGATGCATGAAGGGGTGGATGGATAGGTGAGTGAATGGATGGAAGCCCTTCATTAGTAAAGGGTCATGTAGAAACCGTATGCAACAAGGGACTCATGCAAGCCGCACTTGCTGTTTCAACTTCTCTGCACAGTACTGTATGTCTCCAGGGAGAGTCCAATGGGAAATTTACTTTTTATTTATCCCCTTTTAAAAAAGTCCCCTGGTCATCATTAGGGAACAAGTGTGATATTTAAGGAAGAGTGAGGTGTTAAACGCAAGGTAGTGATGCCTGGCTTGGTTTAGGAAATTCAAGAGGTCCCATTAAAGGCTGAGACTAAACAGAGTAGCTTTAACAGCTCACTGGGGATGACAGCTGTGTGCTGGTAAAGCTTTGCTAGCTGCTTTGCCAGACGCGGAGACATGGTACCTCGAGCAGGCTTAATGATGGAGGGAAATCATAAAGGGAACCTAGCGTAAGGTGGATGGAGAACCGGGGTAAAAGAAAAAAAGAGAAGAGGCCAAGCTATGCCATTCATGATGCAGGTGGAGAAAGCTGTTTATGCTTGTTGAGTTAATGTACCGAGAGATCACCTTCTTGGCTTGTACATTTTCCAAGTCTTTAATCCTAACCTGAGGTTTGCGTCCACGGTTGACAAAGGTGCAGACTGGATTGTAAGCTCCTGTCCCACAGACGTACAGCTGAGTACGGTTCCATGGCTCGATCAGACGGATGAAGTTTGCACACTCCTCCTGTGGACACAAAGACCAGAGTCAATTAAACTGTAATAAATATATGAATGAAAAGCCATTCACAGCCATATTTTACTGGTGCACCTCCTGCGGATTTACTGAACGCTCAAATGCAAATGACCAAATATTTACCAGTGATACCGTGCTTCTCTATTTGGACAACATAGCCTATCAAATTATCTGCCAGGGGTGCTGTGGTGTGTGAGGATGGTGAGATTGACTCTGCTCCAATCCATTCCTGTCTCCCTGGCTAGACAGAAGGGAACCAGCGCTTTTACTGGGCCAACTCCGAGCCTCACAGGTGATTTTTACAGGTTCCTCACATTAATACCAATGTGCACAATGGACAGAGCTGTATGCTTTTCAGGCTTTGCATTTGAAAAATGACATTATTTTCTCTTTTTTGCCCATCAAGTTGATGGAAATCACCTCAGCCGAACAACCCTGCTGAGCTTACGAGTGCTGTCAACAGGCATACTTACATTGGCGTCTTTCCCGCTCACAAGGCACTCCATCCGTCTTCGTTCGGACACTGGCCAGTGGATCTGCGACGGGGGAACAGAAGACATTTTATAGGTACAATCCAACCCTGTTATACATCACTGGCATTTATGAGATTTTTGGGCTTAAACTCCAAAAGGGATATCCACCCAGGCTAATATTAGTCCTGTTGGGATTGTCATAACCCAATTACAGTGTTTAAATGACCCAGCACCAGAAAAAGTGCACTTCAACAAAAACTAGAGTGTGAGCTAACCAAAATGGCTGCTGCTGGGGCTAAAGAAGGGAACATTTTGCCCTGGGGAGAGCTGTTGTAGTGCTGAGGTAAAGGTGTTTGCCTCATTGCCGTTTAACAGCCCATTTAAGAAGCCTGAGTTCGCGGGCATGGGAATTAAATAGTCTTACGATATGTGGGTCCTTGTTGATGTCATGGAGGTCCAGAGACAGGATGTGGTCCTTGCTGCCAACGTACATGCGGTCATGGTCCTCATCCATACGGAGGATCCGGTAGTCGGATGTGTTTAGGAGGTAGGCGAAGTGATGAGCAGTACCGGTGGATCTCAGCTCTGTATAGAGACAGAAATATGCTTGTTAATGACAGCTGTGGTGCACATGCACATTTTCACACACACATGCATGCACAACTGACACATTCCTCATGCCACTCCTGCATACCCTTGTGGAGTTATCTGATGGTTTTCCACCAACACTGTTGTAACTTAACCCCACACATTAGAGACAAGTGCTACTGAGTGTCTGTCACACTGTGTTGATGGCTTAATACCGCCTGAGTGGATCAGAGGATCTTGAAAGTCTCTTATCATTCACTGGCTGTCTGTGACTTCCAGTCAGAAAATAGTCACAGTAGTTTGACAGATGGATATGATTTTTGCAACAAAGTCATACCATATATCGAGCAGGGAAAGATGATATTATAAGTTTGGTTTTAGGCCACTTCCATACTATTATGTTTTCTGCAGTTGGTTGCTTAGATACAGAAAATACGACAGAGATGGCGAAAAGAAGGGCCAGAGATGTCTTTGCCTGGACCGCTGAAAAAGTGAAACTGTTACTAAAAGTAGCACATGAGAATAAAGCAGTTCAAGTGACGGAAAACAGATCGGTGGTCATTGCAAAGCACATACGTCAACATATTAAGGCCCAGACATGCTAAACCAACATCAAAGTGGCGAGGAAGGCTGACTGTTGCGTTGCCTTATGTCACCTGATCTTGTCCAAAAAGTTGCACTTGAGCACACCGCAAAGACCACAGCCAACTGCCAACAAGCACATACGTATGTGCACATGTCCTTGAGGAAATAACTCTCCATACCAGCAAGCTGCTGTCGTCTGTATTCTGTCATCCAAAAGGAAACAGGATGGATTCAACACAGCCCAATGTTAAAGGAAAAAGGATATTTACCATGCACTAGTGAACCATATCACAATTGCAACCAATTTCTGCTTAAGAGCTCAATGGTTCAAAAAAAACAATTTTACCAAGTATTACATTATTGTTTCAATCTCACATGCTTTGTTTGCTTTCCTCATTTCCGTTTCTCTTGTGCACTGAGCTAAACTGACAGTCAGAGGAATTTTAATCACGGATGGGCTCTGCTGGCTCCGACACCAATCAACATGCTGAATCAGTAGTTCAGTAGTCCTTGTCGGCCAAAAAAAAGCTGACTACTGCCAACTGTGTGGGTCTCACCATAAACTAGGGCAACGGATGTTTAGCAACGGCCCAACATTGACCGACGGTCAACTGTCGGCTTGGTATATCAGGGCCCTTAGAGCAATACTGGGAGCATTAACCATGGCTGGAGGAAGCCATGGTAATGGGAAAGGAATACCTACACAAGACAGATAAAGTCAAAAAAGGTATGTAGACCTCGCTATAATGCTTCAACTTGACATGTGGTGACTGATAAGACCCAATCAGGAAGAAACGTGGGTGTCTTTGTCATCGTTTCCTAAAGTAAACTAAACTAAACTATAATGCGTTTTCAGAGCTCTCTGTTTTAGGGGTTTGAGAACGCCAGAGTAATGTGTACGCAAGGCATAAACACAGCTATAGTTGTGTGTTATAAAAAGCTAAACATATTAGTGTGGATGCAGCCGTAAACTACTCCATCTCTGGTTGGACACAGCTCTCTGGTCAGAGAAGTGTGCGTCTTGTGGTAACATAATGCAGTCAACTAGTCCTCTCATGTCTACAGTAACCCAATCCTCCTATAGCTCTGTGTTGGAGTGTTTGTTTGATATGTTGGTCTTGGTTCAGCAACCACGTACAGGCAGGGCAGAGAGGCCACTGCTAAGACAGCAAAGGCCCCATGCCACACCATAGACAAACACACTCCTCCACAATCTATAGGGGAGCGGCATTAGAGGGTGGCCCTCACATATTGTTGGACAAACACAGAGGTTTCACTTAAACAGCAGGAAAGTCCTGTTTCACTGTTTAGCTTTATTCTACAACCAACAGACCACAGAAAGCTGAAACAGGGAATCGCACTTTGAGGTTAACCTAAGTTCTTTTATGTTGATTTAGCAGCTAAAAATGCAGTGATAGGAAACCAAAGAATAAACTGACAGATACAGTTAGCTTTGTTAGACTGTTTAAAAAAATGATATATCAGAACAGAGGTGTGCCAGCGTATCATAAAATGACAGAAGTGTGAAATGTAGTCAATGCAGGGTGTCAACCATTAAAAGCAACACACTAGACTTGTATAAATGATTTAAGATTTGAAAATGTTTCAGTTAGTTGATGAATAACCGCATACTTTTTGCAAGCTCTGTTTGTGCAGTCATGTTCGGTATGTTTGAAGTTACTGACAGACATTCCTGCGAGGTTGTTAGATGGTTCTGCAGAAGAGGTCTGGACACAGACGCATGCAAAGCCATCAACATGTCCACCACTGGGCCTTAAAATAAACACCATCTAGAGACCTTTTTTAAACAGACTCCCTATGGAATCTGATATTACCGGCCTTTCCTGCCAGATCTAAATTTAACACTGGGTTATGTCAATAAGCAAAGATTAATAGCATTAGATTTGCTATATTTGTACAGTTTGATTTAATAACTTTGCCCACCAAAGGAATGTTTACAGAGTGATTGACAGCTGTCAGAGCCCACGGCGGAGGAGATGCAACATGTGGTCTGACCCTGTGATTATTTGTCTTGGAGACTTAAGTTGAATGATGAGTCCCCATACACTCTAGCTATGTTTATGTGTGTGTGCGGATAGAGTGAAACACACCGGATAAGCACGCATTGTACACACACACACAAACACACACACACACACACACACATTCCAAGGGCCAGGCGAAGCCCTTCCTGAAGCAGGTTGTCAGCAACTCTTCAGTGTGTGTTTGTTGTCAGAGAGTAGCTGGATGGGACCATCTGTCAGCTGACGAGGGAATGTGAACAGTGCATAGCAACAACACACCCTATAGGGAGCCGCACATTCAGAAACACACATATATGTAATCTAATCTCAAAATCAGACAAAATCGCACAGATAGTACGGCCTGAGCGTACTCTACAGCATGTCCGAACTCTACGTCACAGCAAAAACTCAACACTGTAATAAAATATCTTTTATCCTCCATATCTAATTGTAAAGTAGACGACATCACAGAGAGCTATGCCTATTAGATGATGGTGTTGTTGCAGAAATCAAACCCTGCAGTCTTTTCTTGGTCATTCATTATGAAGGGATGACTCAGAGCTGAAGTATCTTTAAGTGTTTAAAGCCCCGCTCCAATGTATCTTTTTAAATCAAACAACCATTTATTAGTCACATGGAAATAATACAAGGTACAGCTCCAGTAAATGCATTTTGGCATTCAAAGTTAACAAAACAAGAAGGCTGTTGCTAAAAGGGTAAGATGACATATGACTACAGTAAAAGCTGCGGGTCATATGTTTTTCTCCGAGCTTGCACAGATGCACTGTAATGTCTCTTTGTGTCTGAGCTAGGGCTTCACAGTAATTGAATATTAATTGTGATCATGACTTTGGCTACCCATAATTAAATGAACATGACTGATTGCAATATTGATGTTTAAAACGCATGCTTCGCTCATAGAAATCTCCTCTGCTATTAAAATGAAGCACTTCCTTTAAAGCCAGCCTCCACTTTTATAGAGCTGTCATACTGCCACTGTATGCATGCACCCTGCAGCAGCAACCTATGAGAGACTATCCTGATTGTTGTGAGCACAGACAGGTAAAGCAATATCTTCCCTCATCATCTGTTGTTTAGACGTATTTTGGACATAGGAGAAAAGAAATCACATGCAAAAGAGTGCATGAGACTTGTGTCTGTGCCGCATAGCAGGACAACTAATTTGTTGAATCACTTGAAAAAACCTGACAATCCACAGTACAATGAATGCATGAAGGCCAAAAAGAATAACGTTACCATAACATTTCCATTAATCCCCATTTTTGTACAGCAAGGACAGATATGTCAGTGACCCTGCAGCACGTTGGTACCATGACCGATGTAAAAAACAACAACAACAACAACAACAACAACAACAAAAACAGCAGCAGATACGTATCCAAAGGAGACACACTTAATTCTGGTGACGAATCTTATTTTAAGTCTTATTTTGATGCAAAAAAAAGCAGGACTGTAGCACAACATAGAAGCGAAAGCAGTGCTGTGTTGATTTAAATGTGAAAGTGCGATAAAAATATTTTGTCCTTAAAAACAACGAATAATCATAAGAAATAATTGTCACCGCTATATTAATCAAATAATCATGATTATCATTCTGGCCATAATCCTACAGCCCTAGTCCAAGCATCAAAACCAATAAACATTGTTGTGAGCTAGATCTAGTCAACTTATCTTATATTTTGGCTGCGCTGAAGCCCTAACCCCCAAATTCCACCAGGTGCGTGTTGGTTGCGTCTGCGCTCTGGAACGGCAGCGGAGCCGATACGTTTCAATTCTAGTCAATGTGTGTGTTTCCACCGGCTGCGGCTATGCTGTGTTCCAGCTCCGTCACAGCTGCGGCGCTCCAGAGCCCCCCGCAACAGATACGCAGGACTTCTATTTTTGCCGGACGCCGGAGCACAACGCAGCAATTCAGCACAGAGCAGATCATGCGGGGCAGGAAGTTGTGCACAGAAACAAAATAAAACATCCGGTTAATTTTCAAAATAAAATACACAGTGTTCACAGCAGATCATATTTCCCTGCACTACACCTTGAAAAAGACATAATGGGAGGAGGCAGGCCTGAAGTCAACAGGTCAGAGGTTTTCAGACGTCATTTCACCCTGTTGACACCATGGGCGAGGAGATGTTAATCATGGAGGTGCACCTAGATGTCTTCCTACTACTCCTCTGGTTTTGTGGTTCTGTTTATAGAAACTACATCTTGTTATATCACGCGATTATGCGTGAATTCATGAGCTGCACCGCTCCGCACAGCAAACGCAGCCGGTGGGTGTTGACGGACGGCGGAGCACGCAGCAGATAACCAGCGCAGCCGTTCCACAACTGGCACACATCCAGTGGAATTCCGGCGTAACAGATGCGG